ATGGTTGAAATATTCAGGGTGTCAGTTTGTTCCACAAAGTGGCAGTTATTGACAAAAATGACTGAAATTTTCTTCTTTCATTTTGAACACAGAGGAAAGGAAGATGATTCGATTCCGAGGAATTAGCATTGGGTGCCCTTGCTGTAAATGTCTAAACTGTTGGAATTAAAGAATGGAGATCATTTGAATAGTTGCCATTGAAAAAGTGATAGAGTGGGGAAAAGATTACAGAGTGGAGAATATTTCTCCCCTTAATGCGCGGGTGGCTTTTACATTCTATTTTAAGTCAGCAGTATGAACTGGAAATAAGGAATAAGCTCTTGACGAGATCTGAACTCAAATCCTTTATCTTTAGGGCAAGGTATGGCCAGGTATGATTAGAATACGAAAGCCAAACAGATGACTTTATTTAAATTTAGTCATATCTTCTAGTCATTCTTTCTTTTTCTATTTACTCAGAATTATATTGTTTACAGTTTTTTTGTTTTTTTTATCTTTTTCAGGGAGGTTGTTCCAAGAAATGAACTTAAGTAATTGGATTTTCTTAACTGAAACATTGTTATTATTGATTTTATTATTAATATGCTAGTCGGTGCATATGCCTGCTTCAATGAAGAAGAGTTCCCAATTTTCAGGTGTCATATATCCTGTCCGCAGCGCCATGTCGAACAATCACGTGGTCAAGATAAACACTCAGTTGTGGAGCAAGCTGAGTGAATACTCATTCAACATTGAGAAAGAGAGCTATTTATGGTGCAATGGAGCATCTCATTATGCTAAAGTGGGATAGTCCATTGCTTGGGCTGTGATTGGCTGCTGGTACCTGAGTGGAAGTATTTCTATATAAATACCAGCTTGATTCCTCAGTTAGTTTGTATTAAGTTACAACCTGCTTTATTTTTGTCTGCCAGCTGGACGCTAGCTGGGACTCTTACGCCAGTAAGTGTTGTTTATTGTATTGTTATTCTACAGTTATTATTGATTTTATTATTAATATGCTATTTATTGGAATGTTCACGTTGTTTACATTATCTGATCGTTAAGTAACATTTAGTCTGAAGCATATGCATTATTTATGCTCAGTGTTTTTATTTTCATTAAAAGCCACAAAAATAAAATGAAAAAGCAATATTAAAATTAATAACTGTAAAGCAATAAATTGTGACTGTAACAAAACAGAATGGTTGTCAGCAAAAGAGACCGGAGTTACAGAATTTTAATTGTGTTGTGTCGTAACAGATGATGGTAAGATACAGAAATCCGAGGGCACAAGAAAATCAAACAGGTACATGAATGTAATTATTCTTGTGATGTAGCAAGAGACGACGAAACACGTAACATAGAAATCCGAAGAAGCGTAGGAATAGCGAAAGCTGCCTTTCGTAAACTAAATATTAACAGTTAAAATGTCACTAGAATCAGAAAAAGAGTGCTGAACTGTTATACGATATGTAATCTACTATGTGGCATTGCATTCTAGACAATATAACTGAATTTGTTTACCAAGCATTTCACAATAACTGAGAAGCACGTGCCGTAGCTCTACATATCTCTAAAGCGTTTGGTATGGTTTGACATACCGGCCTTCTTCGTAAGCTACAGGGATATGGAACTTCAGGACGATTATTTGACTTAATACGATCATTCCTGCCAAACCGTGTAATGAAGGTCACCCTTAATGAATCCTTCTCCAGTTCCTTTCTCACGAACGCATGTGTTTCCCCAAGGCTCTATCTACAGTGTCCCTGATCTTCATTAACAATCTTCCCGATGTCATCAGTTCCCAAGTAGGCATCTATGCAGACGACACTACTATTTACTCCTACCTCGATAGAAAATCTGATATCGCTTACCTCTAAAGGACCACCAATCTGTTGCTGACTATATTGAGTCACACCCACCCACGAGGGTGTCATGTGGCACAAGGCCTTTTTAACGTGGGCATTCCGATCCCGTGGGCTCGGCCAAAAATATGCCCATTACCTCCCCGGTTTACCTCCCCGAAAGAGACTCCGCCCTTCGGCGTAGCCTCCTTCGGGTTCCTCCCGTCCATAGGAAGAGAGTTCAACCGAGCAGTTGATTCAGAAGTGAACTACTGACTCAACTGGGACAAGAAATGGCTGGTTAACTTTAAAAAACAAAACTGTTCTTTTGACCCACCACAAAGAACTCTCCCTCACTCCGTCCCATTAGAATGTCTAATGCTCAACTCCACGAGAGCACCTCTATGCGACTGATTGGCCTTAGACTGTCCGCTGACCTGAGATGGAACAAATACATTGAATCAATAGCTTCATCTACCGCAAGGAAAGTTTTTTTTGCCCTAATCCATTCTTCAAATCTATAAATCAACCATTCGTCCTTGCATGGAATACTGCTGCCAAATATAGTCTGGAGCTCCCGCTGTTCTTCTTAAGGTCATCTACAAAATCAAGAGACGGATATGCAATGTGACTGGCCCTGATCTGGCATCTCGTTTACAGTCGCTCTCTCACAGACGTGCCGTCGCTTTCTTTTGTCTTTTCTACAAATACATTCGCGGTAACTGCTCCGACGAGCTACTTTCGCTAGTTCCCAAACTGCAGGAATTTAAATCTGATACTAGTTTGGCATCTCAGTCCCACTCTTTCACTGTCGAAACGGTTAAATCTACCCGTCTCTTCTACTCCAATGTTTCATGACTCGCACTTCCCGTCTGTGGAACTCCCTTTCTCCCTGATAGCTATAATATTCAATTATTCAAATGAAATATCAATCGACATCTCCAGTTGTCTTGATCTATTCTCCGTCATTCTCTTCATTCTTTCCTCTTTCACGCCTCTTTACTGTTGCTCCCACTCTCTGTAATCCCTTGCGTACTAGTAGCACATCCGCCTTTCTTGGAGGGAAATGTTTAAAACCCACACACACACACACATACACATACATACACACACACACACACACACACACACACATATATATATATATATATATATATATATATATATATATATATATATATATATATCCATTAGACAGACTGTTTCGCTGTATCACAGCTCAACAGTGTAGCTTCACGAGTAAAAAAAGTAATGATAGTTCTTTAGTCATTTTCGCCTGTCCTTACCTAAAATCAAATATAATAATATCCTATTATATTTTATATATTACAAGACTTAAATTTCTATATATTATTTTAAGAATGAATAAAGATTGAAATATCGACATCAAATGGTCACATGATAACGAACAAATCTACTGTTGAAATTGGTCGCCTCATCTTTGTGGAATGGTTAGCAAACTTTTTTTTTAGTTCATTATTAGTCCTTCCTCACTAGCTGGGACCTTATACCAAAATTAACCTTCCTTTGTTCCGTCTGAATTACTTGAATGGGGAGTAATCATTATTTACACTATTTACATATGGACTATTGTCTTCAACTTTGTTGTTGTTATCGTAACGTTTCGGCCATTGCTCCTGGCGGATAGTTTCATATTATTTGTGGCATTTTCTTTCTCGTATTTAGATCCACAAAAACAAACTTCATGCGTGCCAAATTGCTTTTCCCGAAATAACTACAGATGTTAATGTAAAATGAGTGATTCCCTTCAAAATAAACAATTTTTCTGACTAACTCGCAATTAAATCGTGCCAGAGTAAACTCATCTACAGAGTGTGTCAAATATTTAGAAAGTCCTAAGTGACCAACTTTAACTAAAAATCTTGTTTTTTATTGAACCCCAACATGGAAACTTTGACTCAAGAAACGCAAGAGATGAAAAGGTCAGCCGTTCTCATTTGTCCCATTACGTCTTCTGATGGGCTACAACTTCTGGGTCGGCGTTTAGAGGGAAAGCAACAAACATGTCTACAGCACCAGAGACTTGCTGAAGGCTGCTATCGGGAACGTCATGGCCAACATTAATAAAAACAAAACACCTGTATCGAGGCCGTAAATGAAACTGATAATGGTTATATTGAATAGACTTGTGTTTTGTATATGTATGTAAGAACATATATACTAAATTCTGTAAAATATACTTTTCTCTGCTAAATATAATTACATTAAAATTTATTCTCAAATACCTGAGAACCCAGTGCATATCTGTACGACTTTATTAAGAGGAAATAAAACTATTCATATCGGACTTGGTAAGTTACATGTTTTCTCTTCACAATTTATATGATATCACACATTCATTGAGTCTTCTTTTCTACCTAATTTTCTATAAGCTTTTATTCCATGATTTAATATACAAGCCTATGTTCATCTAAAAAATTTTGTATAAATCAAAAAATTAAACCAATGTAAGAAATATAACCAGTCTGTGTGAACATTTAGATATTGTAAAATCTTTTTAACCCATTGGGATAGAGTGCAACAAATACACTTCCAAACATATAACGTTCTTTTCATCACTATTCACCCACTCTTGCATCTCAATCACAGCCATCTTTCTGTATGACATTTCACTACCATTTTTTACTTTCTTGATTTTCCTATTTTCAATTTTTATTTACTCATGTTATTTCTAACTTGCCAGTATTTCGCTAAGGCAACTGCCTATCTCTGTCTATTTCTATCTCTCTCTCACACATACGCACACACACACACACACTCCCCCTCCATCTCTCTCTTTCTCTCTCTCTCTCTCTTTCTTTCTTTCTTCCTTTAATTCTATCTATCTATCCATTCTCTTTTTCTTTTTAAAAGCATAGCAGGCAAGCAAAGTGCCCTCTACTAAGATAGCTAGTGTCTGATTTTGTTTAGACTAACGGTGAAAAACGTAATATTCGTGCTTACCCATAATGAAGCTTGCTAAGACAAAAACATACCCTACACTCAAAAAAATCTCATCGATAAACAAAGAACCTATATTATCAATTATTATCTGTTTTTTGAAACAATAGATCAAATGAATCATTAACTCCGTTCATTTAGTGAAGTATCATAAAGTCTAAAGTTCATTTTCTGATATTCATCGGACTGAACCAAACGTACCATCCTGATACATTCATGAAGATTCCCGGGAGAAATGAACTCACAGTTGCCATTTTTCAAAAGCGGCATCCTAATCGCAGCACAGGGATAAGCAGTCCACCGATTTCTCATCTGTTTCCTTTTCTCTCGATTTGCCACTTTTGCCTCCTTGTATTTTTCCATGTTTTTCTTCTTTCATTCTTTAACCAATTTTCTGCTTTTAACCTCTTTGTCTCTTTCTCTCCATCTTTCTTTCATCCTCACTGTTTTCTACATCCGTCTTGTAAATTTAGTCAATAAGCTACTTAAAAAAAATAAAAAATGAAGAGAATTTTGTTTCTGAAAACTGCGTGTCATCGCCGTGGTCACTGCGACTGACGCTCATTGCCTTTGCATCCAACCGACATTTCTGTCATTAGTTCTCCGGCTAATTCAAAGCACACACAATTTATAGTCAGGCCATGCACTTGGCTGTTCCTCAAGCTTGTTTGTTCTAATAGCCAATCTGGATTTGCTTTTTTATTTCATTTTGTTCTTATTTTGATGACTTCATCACTATAATCATCGTCATCATCGCCAACGCTATTACCATCAGTAACATCAACTACAATACATTTTCCGCTCGATAATGAGTATTTATTTGGTTTATCATAACCTGTTACCAAACATCTCACTATTAGAAAATGTTTATCGCGGAAGTTAATGAGTCAACTCTGAAATCCAGAACAAATAATTTTAATAAAAGATTGCTGCTGATGATGATTGAGTCACACAGGTTTTTGCCTTTTTAAAATTTGTGTAATATAAAATTTTGATGGGACATTTTAAGTGGTTAAGTTTGTAATTGTGATAATAGGAATTGTGGTATCACATCTCGAAGATTAATTGACGAAAATTTTTCTGTTAGAAAGACGTCGAAAGGGTGCAAATTGTGATAGAGATGGTGAATTAGCATGAATTATAAATTATGGATACAGTAAAACATAAGGTTAAATGAAATAATTGCGAAAGATATTTAATTACAATAAAATGAATTCGTATATAGAATTGCTTGAGTTTGAACTTGCGAATTAAATTAACAGTTCTAATACATTATCTGTTACCACCCCTCTTTGCCCTTCTTCGACCATCCATTTACACAAACACATTAATTAAATTACTCACTGCTTCCTTCTGCCCCTCTTGTCTTTAATATGTCCTATGAAGCCCCCTTTCCTCATTATGATCTAGTATGATCGAGGGAAATAAACCAGCTGGCACGAAATCTAGGTCGGATTTGGACAATATCGAAACTTGGAATTTATTGTTTTAGAGTTCCTGTCATCCTTTTTGCCTTGATTATATATTAGCTACGATCATCAGAACACTTCTCTGTTACTATTCACGTAGAGAGAAAGGTTTGATTGTTCGAGAGTCAATCAGCCATCGAAGCGAGAGGCTCTCCGTTATCCTGAGGACCTACTATCGCCTGACTAGACTTTCCCATAGCTAGACCCTTTTGCTCCGCAAATCCTAGAACCTTGATTTTATCTCTGGTTAATTTGTAATCGTCAGATGATAATGAGTTCATCTTCTAAATGTCAAGTACTTGTATAGAGAACGGATGACAAAAATAATACAAGTGGTAAGATTCAGGCCGTTTATACCCAAATAAGACAGCCGTTCATCAGTCGGATATGAAACGGCAAAGATAAACAAATTTCAACAACAAATTTCAACAACAAATGTAGAATAGGCACATTAGCTTGCGTGCCTTGACTCTTTTTATATATTCAGACCTCTCAATATTCAGGAAGCTTGACTCGACTTTAAAACAACCCCGACATCGCAATGAAAGAAAAATAAATCGCTAGGCCTTTTACTAACGTATATTGACAAGGTGGAGAAACAATTTGTTAAAGATCAAGACCTGCTAAGATCAATAATCCAACAAACACTTCGAAGATGTTGGTATATACATTACAAAAATCCAACAGAACTCCTGTAGTTGATATATCTCTTTATTGATTCGGACGTTAACCAACCACTGTCGCTTTACACCGCCTTGTGTCAAAGCCACGTAATCATAACGTGTACTTAAATCATGTGATTAGATTGAGTGCCTTGACATCATTCAGTCAGTTATGTGCCATGCGTGATACACGCGTAGGCGATCATGTATCTTTCGATATATGACTGACGAGGCAGATATTTTCCGTAGTAGGTTACCATTTCTTTCTGCGGTAGAGCAGTTGCCATCCAAGGCTATACAACCCGGTCTGTTCTGCTATTTACCCATAGATGAAAGGAGAAGAGAATTCATACATTTCCCAAGGGTATTAGCACGTAAGTGAATGTAATGGATTTGACTGGAATTCGAACTCGGCACTCCGATTCCTCAATCCGAGCCGCTACTATGTTTATAACTCACATGCTTTTCAGAATACAACATGCACAGCTCTAATCTTTGGTAAGCCACTTTATGTTTGACTTTCGTAGCCGAATACGACTAAGAGAATTAGTTTATCATTAAGTATGTATCTTACCAAAACTATTTTAAGTTTAAATAAATTGTAAATCTTAATTATAATCTAATGGCCGTATTTGCCGTTGTATGTTTAATGTAACCAAAATACAGTTACTTAGTGTTAAATCTTTCGAAACCAGGTTTTCTCCTCAGCATACTTTTTTATATATTTTTTATATCTTTTTTTATATATTAGCTTTTTTATATACCGTTGGCGATAATAGCTCCCTACAACTGTTTTTGTTTGTTGCTATAAGTACCTTATTATTCATTAGATTCACTCTTTGGTCATGGTCTGCGATCCATTTACACAATTTCATTAAGTAGCTTCCTCACTGTTTACCTCTGCTCCTCTTTGCCTTTGATATGCCCTGTGAGTGTCAAATTCCCCAAGTTCCCTTTCCTCATTATATGTCCCAGACATTTCAACTGTCTCTTTCTGATTCTAAGTACAAGTGCCTTTTTATGTTTTGTTTCCACTTTTTTAAACTTCCTCTTGGTCCACGTGCTCCGTTCATGATATTCTCAGCATTCTTTATAGAAGCATATTTCTGTTGCCTTAAGTCTGTCAGAAAATTGTGCAGTATTCACCGACGATGAATAGGAAAATTAAAAAGTAAACTATAATTAAAGATTAAAAACGACTACTTGATTTGGTTTCCTAAAGGTTAAATATTTTGTCGCATTTTACGAGTATTTTTTTAATTTTCCTTCTCCTAAAGACAATCGTCTTAATACCTGCATGTCAACAACTAAAAGTCATGTCAAGAAACTTTTTAAGAGGTTTAGAGAAGAAAGAAAGAATTAAGATGCTGAGATTATTCATTAATCGTTAAGTGATTAATGAATACCTCAGGCAATTAATTCTGTTCTGAATACGTGAAAATATAATCAGAAATAATAAAACTGGACAATTCTTGTTTTAATAAAAAATAAACAGGTCCATTATTTTAAATGAATTTTAACACCAAAATTACTTAAAGAACGAAGCAAAAATAGCGTACCTTTTAGTGGGTGCGTCGATGTGTACATGTACAAACAATGATTGCTCTAAAAGTACTACTTCCAGTTTATTATATCGCTACACCACATCAATGGTGGGGTTTAACTTTCCTTACCAATAAGCAATGTTTTTTCTTATACTAGAAAAATGGAAGATAACATATAGAAAAATTAAAGTTTAGTTGCAGTGACTCTTCAGAACGTGGGTGATCATGATTCTCTATAATCTTCTATCCTTTGTAGCCCTTAACAACGTTTGTCTCTTTGCCAAGCCCCTAACTTCCGTTCTACTATCAATTCACACAAGCTCGTCAGATAAGTGGCCTGCTGTGTTCTCGTGTCTCTTTTTCCTCGATATGTCTTGTGAGCGTTAATTTTTCCAAGGTCTCTTTCCTCATTTTATGTCGAAGAAATTTCGGCTGCCTCTTTCTGATTCTGAGTATAAGTAACCTTATTGTTTCTATTTTCCTTAAGACTTCCTAGTTTTTTACGCGCTTTGTCCATGGTATTCTCAGCATTTTTCTGTAGAAGCACATTTCTGTTACATCCGGTCTTCTCTCCATCTGTGAAATGATTGTCCAGCATTAACTTCCATACAAGAAGGGGTGAGTCATTGAATTTCTCCATTGCAGGAAATTTCTCCCATTGAAATTCATTGACGCTTGCTAAACGTTTACAAAAAACGCAAATAGTGAATGTGAGTATGAATGTGGATAATACGTTTCCGCAATGACGACAGCGATGTGTTTAACAAAACACTTCTGGGCGGTCTTACACAACTTTCATCCCACGAAAAGAATAGTGCTTCCAAAAAAGTATGGTTAATTGTGATGACTACGCAAAAAAATAAATAGTGCTTTGTATCTGAAAATCACTATTTATATCTGCGGCGTTACTGTGTTATTTGTTATAGTTTCCCTTCAAATAAAGAGGAGGCCTTACTTTGCAAGTAACATCAGATACTTTGAGTAAATAACTTCAGCTGAATCATTAAAGGGACAAGTGTACACCTTTCCACTATGTTGCATGTTTTATATACCATAATGTTTAACCAGTGTATTCTCATATAGATACAAAAAAGCAAAAAATAAATATTGGTTACCATAAAAGTTACCAAGGATAAGAAAAAAACAGAAGATAAATAAATCATAAAAGGTTACCAAAGATTGAGAAAGGTTACTGCAAACAAATATTACCATACAAGTAGAAAATCACCGAGGCCAAAGGTTAATTCTCTCAGAATGACTTCACTTTAGAGGTTGAAATGGTCTTGTGAGAAAACACATCCTTGCCGTACATCCCTTTTTTATTTTTGTATATGTGCTGAATTCATTTCTTATCTGTATGCAGGCGGTTTACTGTATGTCGTAAGCTCTGATTTATTCTAACGTCCTTCCCACCTATGTCAAGGTTACCTAACAGTTCCAGCAGTACTTTGTTATGTAATTCATTAAACGCATTTGCCTAATCTATAAAGATAGGTATACATCATTTGTATTGCTCTTTATGATGTTTGAATGAAGATCGCATTATTGTCTTTAACGGACCCGCACTGTTCATCTATTTCCGGTCTGATTCTACCGCGTGCTCTATTCATCAACATTCGGAAGATAAGTTTTGTACATGGCTCATTGGGTTGATTGCCCGATAGCATTCACATTCGTTTGCACCTGTCTTCTTAAACAGTGCTATGAATATAGGTGTACTTATGTCTTCTGGTATATCACCACTGTTGTATATCTCATTTATTATTTCTGTAATTTTGTCAATGCCGAAAATGTCTAAGGCTGTGAGCATCTCTATAGCAATTCCATCTGGACCTGCTGTATTGTTTCTGTTCAACTTCAGATTTCAATATTTCTGATCCTTCCTTATTCCTGTGCATTGTTCTCTTTCGCCGTGGAATTGTTCTCCGATGCATTCGTTTCATCTCTGAATTATTTCTTTTTTATCTAGTCACCCGCGTTTGGATTTTATGTATTTTGCTGATGTGTATGTCTTAGAACTCAACTGGAAAGAATCAATGGTTTTGTTATTGATGTTTGAGATTTGGTATTTCCCTATTCTACTTTCAAACGTAATATCGATTTAGATTACGCTATAGAGAAATAATTTTTAAAATACATCTCTTAAAGAGCCCATGTATTTTGATAACGTACATTATATAATACGGATAGCATTATAAAAGTCAAAAGTAACTTAAGGCTAGTAAATTGAAATTTATTTTACAAGTGATGATAAAGATTCTGTAATATTAGTTAAGACATTTTGGTTTATTGAGCAGACATCCTAAATATGGTTCACGACACCCAACATATCAAGTACTACGGGAGAATACTCCTGCTATTCATCTCGAAAATCCAAAGAAAGATCTTCAATGTAATCGATCATGATTTGGCAATTCGACTTCAGTCACTTTCTCACCGACGTGGTGTGACTTGCCTCTGTCTTTCTACTTTTTCATGACTACTGATCTGATGAGCTTTTTTCCCTGGTGCTCCCACTACATGAATTTAAGTATGTTACTAGATTGGCATGTAGGTCTCAATCTTTTACTGTTGAAATAGCTAAACATAACCACCACTTCTACTCTAACAGTTTCTTTCTTACACTTCCCGCCTGAGGAAATCCCTTCCATTTACTTGCTTCTCTGATAACTACAATCTTCTAAAATTGAAATGCAACGTCGATTGCCATCTTCTATCTTCTTAAATCCCGTTCATTTTTTGTCCTTTCCTCAATCCTCAATATACTCAGTCTTTTCTCTCACTTTCACTTTCTGTAATCCCCTGCGTACTAGAAGCATTCTCGTCTTGCTTGAGGTAAAAAGAATTTAAAAAAATAATAAAGAAAATAAAAGAAAAAGGCAAAAAATAGATTATTCGAATGAACTCATTTTGTTTAGTTCGGTAGTGAACGAAATTAAAATAAGAAATGTAAATTAGGACAAAAAGAGAAGAAAAAATAGGAATTTGCATTGCATTAGCCCTGCAAATGAGAGAATAAAAATTAAAATATACCTTGACCCTTGCCATAGTATGACATCTGGGATATAAAGTCCTAAATATCGCAACAAATTTCGTAACAGTATCTTTTCCGTTTTTCTTTTCTTTTTTTTTTGTTTTTGTTTAGCAAAGACACGGAAGAAAACGTTATTCTCTCTTTCTTTCTTTCTTTCTTTCTTTCTTTCTTTCTTTCTCCCCCTCTCTCTCTTTCTCTCTCCTCTCTCTCTCTCTCTCTCTTTCTCTCGCTCTCTTGCTGCTATGAATCGTAAAAATATTTTCGAGACATTAAAAAGAAATATTTTAAAATTTCAAAATAATTCCTCCAGTAATTATGGCTTGTATATGATTTCTCGACTGGAAGATTTTATTTATCATAATGCTTAAGGTTCCACGTGTTTGCCTTTGTCATTAGCTCGTAATGGTCAATACTTTTCATTATTTCATCAGGTACAAGCAACGTCGAGCCTGGTCTAGTTAGATGGCTAACCGCTTAGGAATACCAGATGCTGTAAGCTTGGATATGCGGCTGGTGTAATGGATAACGGCTCAGAATTGTTAATCGGTGAGCCGAGTTCCAATTCCCGTTGTTTTCGTTATATTCACTTACGCGCAGATATCCTTTGGATAGGGATGAATCCACCTCTTCTCCTGGCCAACTATGGGTTTATTAGTAAGACTTATATCAGTAAACCATTATTACGTCAAAAAAATTTCATTCTAAAAATATTCTCTGGCTTTAAATAACCTGCAACGCTGTAAAAAATGAATCAATCTGTGAATGTAATCTGACAAATATAAAATGTTTGCATATCTGTTTAAACAAAATTGTTACATTTTTTTTTTTTGATCTTTCAAACAAAATAACAAATAAGTGATGAACAGGTATCGTGATTTTAGAAAAGTGAATCCAAATTCGCTTTTTGCAATTTTTCTAAGTTAGGTTGAGGTGTTTGTTGCCAGTTGAATATGTTATATAAAGATTTTACGCCAATTCTTTGATGCTTTGACTTGGATCAATTATCTTTTAAAATACCTTCATACATCTTCCAGAGTGGATATGTCACAATCGTCAATTTTAAACCTTTTAAACTACAACTGACAAACACGAACCTTCCCTACGTCCGTATACACTGCACAAATGTTTTTAAATGCCTTTTAAACATTTATAACGGATAACGTATCCTTTCGGAATTCATACAGTAAACAATGATGAGTATGTTGTTTTTATATATAAAGTTTTAAATACGTACATGCTATTTAGAGGCAGGGCCAAGTATTGAAAAAACACGTAGTTAGCAAAGTGTGATTTGTACGACTACTCTCCCAATTTTAAACCCAAGACCGAGGGAAGGTAGGTGCTAGTCTGACCGTTTACATCGAAACGAATCACTCCACAACTGTGTCCAGGCATTCGTTCACTTGCCAACTTATATTTAATAATCTTTTCAATAGAAAACCTAAAATAGTAAGACGTGGTGAATTAAATTCAGTACCATTAGAAAGAAAGAACAGTTATGAAAACTAAAAGAATTAGTAATAGCGAGGGAACAAATTAATACTTAAGTTAATTAATAATTTGGAAACAAAAAAAGGACACAGCACATAGAAAGAAAATATATAAAGTTATAATCCTTCATGGGGTTAAACTGTAAAATCCACTATTAACGACACTATGTACCATTTTGTACCATTCAACCTTGATGCTGCCTTGGTCGGTTGACTCTTAATTCATAGCAGTGAAATGCGTAAACACTTTCCAAACACCCTAATACGTTTTAAGAATAACATTCTTGTTTATCAATTAGTTATGTAAACCATGTTCTTTAAGATAGAGCTGTTAAAGTTACCAATTTTCCTATGTTTGTGGGTGTGTGTATGTATGCGCGCGCACGCGAGAAGCGAGAACGTTTCTGTTAAAATAATTTATTGACATATATGAGTCGTGGCATGCAAGTGAAATTGAATTAGCCTCAAACATTTTGAAATTAATCAACCATATCTCTTGCTACTGGGATAAATAATAAAAGAAAACTAAAAAAGATAAATACAGAAAATATGTTATAAATCCCAGCAGATTCTGCAAACTTCGTATCATCGCAATTACGAGAATTGGATGTGTTGCCGTTATTGCTGAATAAACTCTTGATTATGATCAACTATTTTTTAAGCATTGGAATATAAGATGAAGAAATATAATTATAAATATTTTCAGTGCTTATAGTTGTAGATTTTATCGACGTCACTTAGAGGCAAAACATATTATTGTTAATAAGATGAAAATTCTAATTTAACAATTGAGCAAGGTTAAGATTCTTTTAAATGTTTTAATCATGCTTTAACATTTTATTCAAATTTTAAATAAAAATAAAGTACTTTTTCTTCAGGTGAGACCACAAATTATGATCTAATGATAACGACTACAGGAAAAAAAGGCATGAATATTTTAAATTCATTCTTACACACACACACACACACGCGCGCGCGCGCGTACAAATGCATATATATAAAAACTTTATTTTATGGTAGTAACGATAAACAATGATGTAATGCGTTTTATATAGAACATTTGGCTAATGGCCATATCACGTTAAAAAGCCTGTTCTTAAGCAACGTCGAGCTAAGGCACTACGTAGATGGGTGAGCACTTGGGAATACCAGGTGCCGTAAGTTTAGATATGCGGATGGTGTAATGAAGAACGTCACGGAATTAGAAAGAGCGGGGTTCCAATTCCAGTCGGGTTTATTATATTTACTTACGCGCAAATACTCTTGGGAAAGACAGGAATCTAACTCTTTTCCTTCAAGCTTTCAGTTAATTAGCAGGACTTGTATCAGTAAATTATTATCTCCCCAAAAATATTCTTACAATCTAAAATATATTCTGGTTCAAAATAACCTGCAAAGGGTTGATAAGACTTAAAAACAAATCAATAAATCAATATATAGTATATTCATATAATTACTGATGTGTTAAACAAAATTTATATGGCAAGTAAAATTAATAAATGCAATAAATAAGAATCAGGAAGTAAACATATAAAGTATACGGTTAATAAAAACATAATAGCAAAAAATGAGTGTTTCGCTTGAATAAAATTGAATTTATCTATATTACGTTGACAAATTCATTGAAATACAGCTTCGGCTTTTACACTATCTCTCCCTCACTCCTTTTCTCTCTCTACCACTCTTTCTCTTTCTCTGCCTCTTTCCTCTTTCTCCTCTCTCTTTCCTCTATTTCTCTCTCTTTTTACTTTTCTCTACTTCTCTTTACCATCACTCTCTCTCTCTCTTTCTCTCTCTCTCTCTCTCTCTCTCTCTCTCTCTCGTGTAACTTTCTCCTTTTCTCTCGTCTCTCTTTCTTTCCCGCTCTCACACATTCTTCGATTTTAATGACCTAACGCTTTTAGCGGCATATTTTATCGTCGATAACTCAATATTTAAAAAATACAGAAAAAATATGTTTCTACAAATTAAAACACTGGACATCCAGGGAAAATCTATACGAAATCTGAAGTGCTTTTCAAGCATTATATTCGCGTGTATTTGAATAAAAGAACTGATTGATTTGATTTATATGACCGTACAGTGGACAGAAATACTGACGCACACATGCACGCACACATTGACAAATACACACACACACACACACATATATATATATATATATATATATATATATATATATATATATATATATATATATATATAGTAGTGGATAGCGGCATCGGAGCCAGAGTTCGAATTCAAGTCGAATCAATGGCATTCACTTACGTGCTAATACCCTTGGAAAAGATATTAATCCCTCCAGCTATGGGTAAATAGCAGGGCAGACTGAGTTCTATAGCCTTGGATGGCAACTGGTCTAGAAGAAGGATAACTCAAGGATAATTCAAAACCTCCGGAGGGTTGTTTGGGGACCTTGTGGCACGTAGCGAACCAGGTCTCTCTGTATTCGGCCCTTCAAAAAGTGTGGTTGGTTCTGCACAATGCCTTCACCACTATAATCAAATCATATGTTTCTAGGAACTTGAGCTGCTTTAGAAAAATCCTATTAACTATATTTTATTGTGTTTGCATTTCTTTTAAATATTAAAATAAATGAAAATATTAAAAAAAACAGAATTTGTATGTCCTTAAACGACCCATACCCCCTGTGTCTACATGAAAAGCTACATATTAAGTTTCCTAAAAAATAATGATCTATTAAATTAACGAAATGAACTAACTGTAATTTGTAGGCATTGTACAATGCATACATTAAAATATAGTTAATAGAATTTTTGTAAAACAACCAAATCCTGTATGTTGCAATTATATACCCATTATTTTATTATATGTAATAGTACATATAACATTTATTTAATTCCTTGATTTTAATCTTAATATTACCATGTTCTATGGCACGTTGAATATAATAAGTATGGAATTTTAGTATGAAAATAATATAAGATTGATTTAATCATACTAGAAGCCCCTTTAAGTTAGTTCTAAAGTATAAATATTAATAATTCGAAAAAAAAAACGTTGAAGAACTGTAAATATCTGTCCTGTCACCGTTTGGACCGTTTTGCAGACTACAATGTCAGGATGCGAAAAAATGATCCCTTTTCATCCTCATTCTATAGGTACATTGTTTGGCAGCACTTAAATTTCACAATTCCCTACAGAAATATCATATCTCTCTAGACATTCTGTCTGTGCAAATATCTCCATCATAGCTGCTTTATACGTCATTTGGTCGGGGTAACCTTCGACGAGATCGAAAATACTTGGGTAGGAAAAACTAAGGCGCCTTCCTTTCATCTTTGCATCATGAAACTGATTAGAGAACAGGAAAAGATCATTATAAAACAAATAGACATAATAAGTCTATATTATTCAATGAAATATGTTTGAACGATATGCCGCCTAAGTACGCACACACGCACAATATATATATATATATATATATATATATATATATATATATATATATATATATATTATGTTATATGGAGGCCGTGCGCTGTCCAGACAACATGACCACCCTCTTAGCCGTACAGACAAAATCTAAAGAAATATCATTTGGAGACAGCTTGGTTGCAGGAATTGATGAAAAGTTATTACTGTTGACAGCCAACCGCTTCCAGGTTTTCTGCCTGTATTTATTACCATAGCCTTTTCCGTGTGCAAGGCAGCGGAGGTTTTAAAATCAGGCGTTTCTTCACCTATACACACAACCAACCCCCCATATATATATATATATATATATATATATATATATATGTATATATGTATGTATGGTATTATGCAAGAAATGTTACTCTTCTATCCGTAACACGAAAATCTTCATTTTTCACTCTTTACGTAATCAAACTATCAATTCTAAATTGCTTTTCCGATTCAAACAGTAAGAAATAACAGTTTTTTTTTGCACCCCTTTCTTTATTGCTTGTCTTTTTCTATTCTTCTTTCTGTGTCCTGTCTATTTCTTTTTCTCTTTCTTTCTCCTTCTCCCCCTTTCTCAGTATCTATCTATCTATCTATCTATCTATCTATCTATCTATCTATCTCTTTTATATCTGCGGTTGAACATGTGATATATAACCTTGTAAAAGTGCACTCTTTAAATATGGAAAATCAAAGTCCATTTTGCCTTAAGAGATACCAATAATAAAACAATTTAGTAAATACACCTGCGATATTAAATCTCTGACCTGCGATGATCTATGGTGGTCTATTCTCTGACATTACTCATCCTATATCTAAGGGATTTTCATATGAATAGAACTCCTTAGAAGAAGTCTGTATGTAGCTTTTTATAATGATAGATAAGCACCTTGCATTCACTGGAACCCGCAATCAAGAATTTTCTTTCTATATCTTTCATTCCTCAATGTAAGCAGAAGTGAATGGAATGACTGTTATACTACTTGTTCATATAGTATGTAAATATAGGTTCACTCACCTTTTGTGGACAGCGATTTTGCAGCACACGTCAAGATATGACTGAATGGTAAGTTTGAAACTAATAGCTGTTCGATCTTACATCCTATTATTGATAAATACTAGTGGCAAGGAAAAATGCCGAACTGAAAGTAAATAAGTATCCCTTCTCAATGTAATTTAAAATATCCAGTAATCTTAAAAGACACCTGTCATTGTCTAACTAAAAGAAGTGGACTGACGACTTAGATGTCCGATGTTCAATTAAAGAAGCATATGTTTCCACTTTATCCAGATACCTGTAAATGCATACAAGACATTTAAATGTCCAGACGGGCATCGTTCAAAATAATCAGAGGAATTTTCTTATAGCTATGCTCCTTCAGGGCGTAAGGCAGAGTCTCCACACAGTACTTTTCTTTATTATTTACGAATTGCCATGTCTTCTTTGGAAAGATAGAGGAATGGCCTCCTCTGACTTTTCCAACATTTGGAATTCAGAGTTTTCTTTCTCTTACACACTTGACACCCAATGCTAGTGAGTTCGGTTTACCCCGATATTTAATCCATAGCAGAAGGGAGAAAAGACAGATACATGCTTTTCGCAATACATCGGTGCGAAAGTAAATGCAACTTACTATCGCCATTAACTTTTATTCTATACATTTATTCAGGCATAGGTATTACTGATTACACAGGAAACAGGCTTACAGCCATATCACGTTGAAACAAATGTTCTCGAGATATTACCAAAGTTAAAAGACCTCAATCCTGGGCAATACTTAGATGGGTGACCGCATGGGAGTACCAGGTGATGTAATGGATAACGGCTTGAAGTTGAAAGTCGGAGAACCGAGTTCCAATTCAAGTTAGGTTCATCTTATTCCGTGATGCGCAAATACCCTTGGAAAAGATACGAATCCATCTCTTCTCCACTAGCTATGGATTAATTAGTAGGATTTTTATTAGTAAAAAACATGTTATAGCTTAGAAATATTTTCTGACATATTTTTGTGGCTTGTCAACTTTTTCAGGTTATTTTAAATAATTAAATTCACAAAAACTATGCCATATAAAGTTTAAAATTTCCCTTCTTTTATGCTTATCATTAAAGTTACGTACTATTAATAATCACTTAAATTAGTACAGTACAAAGCCAAGTAAATGAGCACTAGGAAGATTATGCAGTGTCAATCCTTTAAGCGAAGACGATCTATCTAGAAAATTAGCATTCGAAATCTGGAATTTATAATACGTGATTAGTGGGTGATGCAACTTCTTTTTCGAACGAACACGAACGCCATTAACTAGTTTCTTCTGTTTCTTTCGAACACTCGTGATCTTCATTAGTCCTTCACTCCTCAAGTTATTTTCGCCTCTCAGCTGATCCTCATATGTTTTATTCGGTCTCCCTCTTTTCGGTTTTCCGTTTTTACGCTCCCGCATGAGTACTTTACTTAACAATTCGTCTTTCCTCCTCTTCCAGATATGACTAATGAATCACAATCTTCTAATCCGTAATGATTCCATCGCAATTTGCCGTTTTCCGCAGAACTCCTTGTCCATTTTGTTCGCTTTCCATGTTACACCAATTATAGCCCTAAGCAACACACTACGACGCGAAAAAAATCTTATTTTCAGATAGTTTGGGAGATTCAATTATTATATTCCTTACATTTTGTTTAGTTTCCCCAATTCTGATCTTCGTGTCCTTGTCACTTGGCTGAATTCAAGCACCAAGACACTTGAAGTCTTCTACTTGTTTCAGCTTATTTCCTTCTAATGTTATAATTTGACTGTCTAGTTGATAGTATAACATATACTCAGTCTCTTTAAAATTTATGTGTAATCCTACCGCTTCTGTTTCAATTTCTAGTCGGAGAAGTTGTGCCTGTGCTATGTAGTTCCTGATTTCAAGATTGTATTCAAAGTCGGTATCCGTGATATATGTTGCGGGATAATAAGTCACTATCATTGAGTAATATGTAATTGTCTATAAAGAATGCGTCACGGTCTGCAACGAAACAGGCTCATGTTAGTGTTTACTAGGTTTAACTTAAGATAACACAAAACTATAAGTTTGAAGATCAGATACGCTGAATGTTGTTTAACTTTTCTTTTAGGACAACGCCGAGATACATTATATTTTAGAATTTTATACCGATAAATATTTTTTAAATTTATTTTATTTTGGTTGCTTCCTACCGCAAATCTCAGACCCTACGATAGTTTCAAAATAAGGTGCATTGAAATTCAAGACTAAGCTTACAGTGTGATTTTAATTTTTCGCCTTTATCGACTAAAAAAAACAAGCTGCCTTACCGAATAGAGTGCGAATGCCATTTAGTTACAGTAATTCATATCTAATGTATAACATTCAATGTCTAATGTGCTGTTATAGTTTTAGAATATTATTAGTTGCGATATTATTTTTGAATTAATTTTTTAGCATAATTCACCCATAACAGAACAAGGTACAAGAGCTACGCAAGTTAGAGGACTACTAAATGAAGTATGTAATACAAAAATAAGAGGAGGAAGTAAGAAACGAAGATTACGAAGATATGGCGGATATATAACTATTGACCCTGGACTTGAAGAGTTTAAGATTTTAGTACTCGAGGAAACATCTACGGGGAAGTCTGTTCCACAAATTAGCAGTTCTGGGGAATAAGCTTTCGTGGTGAAACGCAGTTCTCACCAAAATAATACGCAGGAGACGTAGGCGATTTAACCCTGTGGATGTAGCAAGGTGAGTCTTAGCTGTAAAGGCCTGATCTGATGCTACTAATGAACCGAGCTCATCTGAACATTTGCCATAGAAATAGCGATAGAGTAGCGATCGGTTCACTCCTCACATGTCTTTTTAGCAGGACTAAATGTTTATTCCTTGTTTCCTGTTTAGGATTGGGTTTCTGGTTCCTTTAAATTTTACTTCAACTCCATATTAACTCTTAAATTTTATTTACTATTTACTTTTTCCGCAATAGGAGTAAATAGGTCTGTCTATCGCCCGGTTCACTATCCTCTCCTGTTTTTGGAAGAGGAATAAAGCTTTATCCCTTATTTCCGTTTTAGCATAGGATTTCTGGTTCCTTCTAATGTCGTCTCATTCTTTTTCCCTCTCAGTGAGTCTTAGAGGCATTATCGCCTTGCTTAGGCTGCATTGATTTTTTTAAGGGCTTGCGACGTTGCTTCTTTGCGAAACGGACTGTAGCATGGAAAATGTTACCCCCCACCCACAAGGTCGCGTAAACGATTTTCATCGGTTGAAAAGTGAGGGTGGCAGCGCCAGATCAGATATGGCACCAATATTTCATTTTTTGTCAAGATAAATCAGAGTAGAAGGAGTCAGGTGCGGTACAAAGAACCGATCATTTTTCTATCATCTTTAGCGATTGACATTATATAGGAGTTCAACTTAAGGTTTAGGGTGAACTTGCGTCCCAATAGATGTTCAAAGCAAGGAGCGTCACTGAGATTGAGACATTCAGGGTCAACTTGTTGATGATGAAACATTACTAGCATGGTTTTGGGGAGTATTGAAAGTTACATGACAGTTTCCTTCATTGACCTGTTGTATTCGGATCATCCATTCTCTATGTCGCACCAGAAGGTTTTTCTCGTCTGAGTCCATCCTTCAAATCTACAAATTTACTATTCGTCCATGCATTGAATACGATTACCATATATGGTCTGGTGCCCCCCGCTGTTCATCTCGAGGTTCTCGACAAAATCCAAAGACGGATATGCAATGTGATAGTTCCTGACCTAGCATCTCGACTCATGTCACTTTCTTACAGACATGACAAGGCTTCCTTCTCTCTTTTCTACAAATATTTTCATGGCAACTGCTCTGATGAGCTATTTCCCTTGTGCCCCCAACTGCACGAATTTAAGCGTTCATCGCACTTCCCGACAGTGAAACTTCCTTCCTCATACTTGCTTCACTGATAATTATAATCTTTAAATATTCAAATGTAATGTCAATCGACATCTTCTGATGCCTTGATCTGGATCCCTGTCCTTTTCATTACCCTTTCCTCCTCTTTACTCTTACTTTCACTCTCTGTAACTCTTTGCGTAGTAGTGGCACTCCCGCCTTGCTTGATGGGAAATGCACAGTAGTATCATCAAAATAAGTGTTTACTAATTCCTAGGCAGATCTTAATTAATATAAAGCAGAAAGATGGTAGGACCCTTGAGAGGATTTTTGGTGACACCTACATTGATCTCATGGGCTTCTTAAGTCTGTCCAGTAACAATGACCTTTATGAACCTAACTGGGAGGAAAGGGCTTAATAATTGCGACTACTCTTCAAGAGATGTCATAGCTTGAGAGTTTAATATTTTGCTGTTATTTCTCTCATCTTATTTCTGTTACTTTTTATTGCGGCTCAACGATAAATAAACTTCCCGGGTGAAAGGGTTCGTCTTTTATAAGCCGTGTCCCTTCAGGACGTAGGCGGTCATAGCCTTCCACATCTTCTGTCACTTGTAGCTCTTAATAAGTTTTATCTTTTTGTCATTCCTCCCATACCATGTTCTAACCTGATGTTAAATATGTCTCCTTTCTGTTTCCATATTCTCCAAAACCTCGTTGTTACTTTCATTTTTGGTCCATGATATCTTCAGCATCTTTCTGTAGAACCACATTTCTGTGGCTTCAAGTCTCTTCTTCATCTTTGAGGAGATTGTCATACAAGAGAATAGATATCACATGGCAATTCAGTAATCTTTACTTTGTTTCTAACGAAATTTTTCTGTCTCTTAATATTATACTTAGGTTTTGGGATGTATTTTTGGCGATCCCAATACGTCTTCAGATTTCAGTGTCATCCTCTGATAGAACACTTCCCAGATATTTAAATTTTTATATTTGTTTGATTTTAGTATTCACGATTTGTAATTTGTATTTTTGGTTCATCCTTTTGCAGATAACCATGCATTCTGCTTTCTTGTAGTTTATACTTAGTCCTTTCTTCTCGCTTTCCTTCGCTACCTTCTGTAGGAGCTTTTGTAGTCTCCACTCCGTGTCTGCTATCAACACTGTGCCATCTGCATATCTTACATCGTTAAGATTGTGGCTGAATCCTGGTAAAACTTTTAATTCTCTCAGAATTGCCTCACTGCATGGGTTAAATTAATCCGATGAGAAAACACATCCTTTTCTTACACCCTTTCTATTTTTGCATATCTGCTGAACTCATTTTCTGTCCGTATGCAGGCTGTTTGAGGCCAGTATAGATTCTTGATTATTCCAATATCGTTCCCAAATATGTCAAATTTGCTGAGCAGCTCTAACAGATCTTTGTGGAAAGGCTTTCAAGTACGAAACATTACTGTGGTTTATTCTTTATTTACGTGTATATATTTGTTGAACAGTAATCCGACAAGTATTAAAAACAAACTGAAATACAAGTTGATGTTTATGCTTATAGGGTAATTTCTTTCAAAAATGCCTGTGTTTCAATGCGTATGTATAGGAAGTAGTCTAACTTCGGGAATATGTGTATGTGTGTACGAATGTGTGCGTATGTGTGTGTGTGAAATATATTAAAAACACTAAGTTTGTATGCCGGTGTCAAAGGATATGAGGGTATGCATCTATCTATCTATCTATCTATCTATCTATCTATCTGTATGAAATTAAGTAAATGTGTTTTGTGATTGTGACAAATGCGCTTGCGTAAAGATAGATAAATAGATAGATAGATAGATAGATAGATAGATAGATAGATAGATAGATAGATAGATAGATAGATAAATAGATAGATAGATAGATAGATGTAGACTCATGGATGTGCTGAAATTTATTGACACTCCTCATTTCCTAATAATCAGATTTTGAGATGCAGAGCATTTTGTTTGGGCTTAGATGTTTTCAGCACCCTCTCGTGTATATCTATCTATCTATCTATCTATCTATCTCCCTCTCTCTCTCTCTCTCTCTATATATATATATATATATATATATATATATATATATATATATATTATGTGTGTGAATGTGTGTGTGTGTGTACATTCAAGCATATCTATGTTTCTTGTGTAATTTTATATATGCGTATCTTGTGCAAATTTGTGTGTGATTTATTGTTGAATGAATTTTTGTGTTACGATTAACTTGATTTCTCAAGTGCCTCCTAAGATCTTTAATGAGTGCTTGAAAGCCTGCCTCAACCACTCTAAACTATTTTTACTACTACAACTACTACTAATACTACTACTACAACTGCTGCTGCTTCAAACAACAACACCAACAATAATAATAATACACTTTAATACGAGATTTTCTGGCAGTTCTCATTGAACATCAAGTGGCATCAAAACTTTTGAGCATCACTGCAATCTTCCGTTCTTACCATCGACTTTAATCACATTGCATTTTCTATTATTTCTCTTAAGATTCCTATTGTTGTCTACTCTCAAGGGATCTCAAGCCAATCCTAAGTATCCAAGTGATTATGGAGCACAATTTTCATTGGGATACTTCACAATATTTGAGTGCATTGATAATTTTCTTTTTATACCCTCTTCTGGAGTCTTTCTGTGTTCCACTAATACAGACTTTATGAGCTCATATCTTTTTCAATTACAATTATATCAGGTTTTTGTTTAGTAGACTGTCCGAACCTCTAATCTTCAAATCTTTTCCTTTCCTTGCTTAGATTTTCTGAGTTATATCTATATAGTTTTGAAGGGTTTTTTTTTTTTTTGTAGTTTCATCGTTAATGATTTTTTGTTTCGTTTTATTTTAATATGTAAAGTGTATCGTACATATTCTCAGATAAATCATCAAAATAGTTGTACGGATTAGTCATCAATCCGGCGATCAGTAATCCAATCCAATCAGTAATCCGCTACCAATTTCCACGAGAGCAATTATAGTTTTCCTGGATAATGGTTCGAACCTGCCACTACTGTTTGGGGTATCAGCAGTTTTTAACATTTTTAAACACCGGTAAGGTCCTTCTACTTGTCTTTTATATATTTTTATTACAACCCGCTAACGGTTAATACCAGTCATGACAACAAGGAATACAGGAAGTGTGGTGAGAAATGTAAACACCATAAGCGTTTCATTAAAATTTCTCTTGATGTTCATATTATTTGTATTTTCCCTTTATTAACCAACAAGTTCTGATTCACAGGCTATTTTAAACATGGGATGAAGTGGTTAGTTGTTGGATTAAGTGTCTTCTAACATGATCCAGTAAATCAATAACCTATAACTCTCCCTGATTAGTAATTGCCAACCTGTATATTTGAATAATTGTCTTTAATTTTCTGCTTTGATTGCATGTTTATTCTGTATCTAAAAGAAGATAGTACACTTTCAACATCTTTCAATTTTATGTGGATAAATTACTTAAAAATCTGTCTTAAATTTACATTATTCTCGATATATAATTCATTGAATGGTTATTTTCTTTGCATGGAAGCCTTTTTTCTAGGGAGTTCCATCATTTCCTCTAATAATATATAATGGTCCTTATTAAATATGATTTAATGATAGCTAATTAAATGTTTTCATTTTCGATATTTGCTAAGCTTCAAGGCTAAATGAGAGGAACTGCGATGTATGAAGACTTGCAATTATTTTCCCAGTAGGCATTGAATGTGTCTATATTGCTTAAGAAACCAGCATTTGAAATTCTGGGCTTTCACCTGAATTTGAAAACCAGCTATTGACACTAGTGAGAAGTAGACAATTAACTCACTACGTTGATGCAGATTAAATATTATTTCCTTTTATTTTATTAGCTATCAATTGATGGCCACATGAGATAATAGTACAATGAAATAACATTAAAAAGTTTGTGAATCACTGGTCTAGACATTTCAACCGATCCTAATATGCATCGATTTACTCGGACTAGTGTGCCCTTTTTGTGGTTGTTATAGTCGAAACGTTTAGACAGTTGTGACCTCCGTCATTCTGCGGGTGTATCGCGGAATTGTGTCCTAGTCGTGGTTGTTATAGCCAAAACTTCGCCCTTTTGTTTATTATAATCCTAAGCTCTGGTCTTCTTCGTGTGTATCTCGTAGTTTGTATAGTTTCTAAAATTTTAATCTAAATCCTATATTCAACACTGTCATATTATAAATTCCCAGCTACAACAGAAACCTGAAGGAAGTCAAAGAGTACAAACATATTTCCATTACTAAGATGAGGGCATAAAACTGAATAAATCAATATATAATAATAATGTTAATTCTACATCATAAAAATTCAAAATAAGAAAATCTCGATATCTATTAATTCACGTTCAAATTTCCCGATAATTAGTTTATCTTTTACTTTTTTACAAAATAATATTCTTTACAAAATTACGATAAAATGTTTTGCACTTCATTGCAAAGTAGACATTTGTACAATTTTAGTATTATTGCTTTACAAGACTAAGCTTTGGGTGAAAAAGTGTTTTCATATATGTCTAGATTATAATGAAATTATGAACAGGAAACAATTTGTATAAAACAAAATAACTTTATTGAATTTTTCGTACCGTTATAACTAATAAACTTAATTGTACCAGTTTGAGATTAATAATATATAGGTACCTCCACTTTTTCATTAAAAAAAAACAGTATAGCATGATGAAAAAAGTCCTCAAAATTAATAAAAACAGTTTTATCGTCACATTGTTTGTGTTATCATTAAGAGGAAGAACCGAAGTATTTTTATTATTTTATTAAATTTTTAATCCTTTCTATCACGTTCCAAATTTTGGTTAAAAATCTTCTTTTTTTTTTGCGTTAGTGGTTGACGTAATATTTACAATTAGTGTTTTAGCGTTTTTCTTTCAAAAATCAAATAATTGTCGAATTTTAATGAAACGTTCAGGATGTATTCACAAATGAATTAAGTTATTTCTTAATTTTTCATTTTTAGAAAATGTTAGTAAAATAAAAATTTCGAGAAATTAAATTTTCATCCGAAAATTATTTTATTAGTTAAAAGTAGGACTAGGTTGAGAATAGAAATCATTCATTTGTTTTTCTAACGACTCCTCATTACCGAAAATCTACTACGAATCGTAAAATAAAAAAATGTGATAAAACTATAACATTATTTAATTAAAAAAGCTTTTAATTACTTTTATAAAAAAAAAAAAAGCTTTATTGAGGACACTGTTGTCTTAAAAAAAGTTTTTTTTCGATGAATAATGAATTTTTACAAGAAATGTTTTCATGTTTTTAATTTTAATTATAATAACTTATATTTACTAATCAAAAATTGAAAAGTTTAATACAAATCATTTTGCACCAAGGCTTTAAAAATAATTCTTTTTTCTTATGTATATAAAATATTATGTAATATGTCCACTTTTGAAAGTATGGTCGATCATACACAACATTATCAGAAAATAAGAGCGGCAACTATAATAATTTTAATGTCAACATTCCTAAAATTAGATTCCAACATTTTTAAGATTACTGAGTACTTAAAAATTATATTAAAAAGGGTCCAGCCGTCATTTTCTTAAATTATGTTTTAACAGATAAAGTCTCCCCGTAGCACAATATAAAACTGTCAACACCTTCACACAAACATGCAGCTTTTTTCAAAAGACGTTTGTGCCTCCCACCACAAGAAGTATTTTCTGTATTTATTGGATCCATGGCGTCAGTGTGTTATAACAAAATTGTACAAAATACAATTAGACGCTACTAAAGAGTAATGGCAGGTCTGTGCGGAGACAGCAAATCTGAAATTACACTCGTGGAAATTAGCGCTGGATTACTGATTGAATGTTTTTATATATTGCTGAATTTTTTGATGGCCAACTTGTATTATATACTTGATGTCTGTTCCGTTTAACTGGTGAAATATTTACATAAAATTTGTAGCAAAGTGATGGATGAAAATTTATAGTGAACGGTTTGCAACCAATCGAAATTATTATCCGTATATATGTTTACCTAAATATTTCCCCTTAAATATTCGCTATAACAAAAAGTATATGAGATATTACCTAAATATAATGTTCTTTGTATATGCGAGTCAACATATTTCTTTTTTTTTTTCTGACTGGATAACTGAAGTTTACTTTTGATTAACTTATGCTTACATTATATATTTTAGCACCACTTTGGTGCACCCGATGTCTGCTATCACTTCATATAAACTTAACTTTCATTTTAGGAGCGCATGTATTTTATTCGGAATCATTTAACTGTTTTCCTGGTTTCTCACGAGGGGCGCTGAAAAAGTGATTTTATAAAACATTGTAAAAGATTTATTTTCTCCACTAAATAATTGATGCAAGGATACATGCCTGTTTATGGAAGAGTGATAAAATGATTCACTACACATTTTGTGATTTTAATTAAACCATTATGCAAGTTTTGCTGCATATAAAAATGGCACATTTTCTGTCTCAGCTTATAATACTTTTTATGCATTTACTAGTAATTTTGACTGGTTATGAATATTTACATGTTGAGTCATAAGTAATTTCCGTTTTGGGGAACGAATTATAATATTTTGAAGAATAAATTTGATTAATTATTTATGACTCATCATATATATCCATCATAAATTTTGAACTATTTTCGATTTAATAAAAATAATTTAATTACTAAAATTACTTTCTCTAGGATCGAACTTATCAAATTTTCCATCGTAATTTAAAACGA